GCGCCACCAATCAATTAATTGAGTTTAAAATAATTGCAATTAATTGCCCTCACAATCAATTATTCGGTAGGCCTGATCTCAACAACCGTGGCTTTCGTCCCTGCAGAATCGATATCTAAATTGAGATATTTAAAATGTTACGTTCAAGTTTGATTTTTAGACACGATTTGAATCAATATCCAGCTTAACAATGTCGGTAATTGGGTAAATTTGGACACAATATGTCCATGTTCAAACGACAAATGAAATTGGACTTACGATAATTCAAACGTCCAAAATGTCAGCTCAAATTCTTTTAAAATATTATTTTTAAATAAAGTTATTTCTCTTTATCTGTTACATAGTATACTATGATTTTGAATTGATTATTAGCTCATAAATTAGTTATGCTGTTAATATTTTCTTGAAGCTTTAGCTTTTACAATAAAAAAGGTTTGCTAATTTTGAAATAGTAATTTTTTAAAGCATAAGCACCCAAAACATGGTTTTCTTTTTACTATTTTTGCAATAAATTTGGAGGCCTTTTCATTCGACAGGGCGAACAAAGATTATTCAAAATGAGTAACATCTATTGTATATATTTAGAAATATGATATTTAAAATAAATTTCATAAGGTAACCACATTTATTATCGTAAAATATGCAAAATATTTGCGTGACAATTTATAAATGTGAGCTAAAGAAAACCTCAATAGTAATATATATCCATCGAAACCAAGACAAAGGATATACAGTTGCACCCCCTAAGTGCACACTCCCTAAGTGCACGGTATATGAAAAACTCCTTTAGGCACGGTTTGTTCACTGTAATTGTCGCATCCTTTTATTATATTGTCCATTGTTCAATGTGATAAATAACATAATAAAAAGATGTGACAATTACCAATGAACATGTCCATTTAACAACACTCACTGCCTCTAAGTGCACACCCCTTTTGGTCCCGATTATAATTTTAACCCTTTAAATGCACACACCCTCTCTAAGTGCACATTTTGCCTTTTTTTTACTATGGTCTCGAGGGCGTGCACTTAGAGGGGTGCAACTTACATGTTTTTTTTTTGCCTGAATAAGACTGTACTACAACATAGATATTCAACGAATGTTCAAATATTTATTTGGAATTTTTGACGAATTACTGCATTTTTATCAAATGAATCTCTAAGCTTGAGTCTGCCGAAAGCAAGCGAAGTGTAAGACGGAAGAAAATAGGTATCATTACTGTACAAGTGATGCACTCTGTATGTATTTTGTAAAAAAGTCAAAATTTAGTGACGCGTCTTACATTTTTTTTAAAAAAAGTCTAAGGAATGCAACAGGCAAAACCGAGTTGGCTCGGGCACTTTGGTGAGAGCCTTTATTCTTGTACACTTTTAAATAATTAAACCATTAATTCTGATATCTCTCTCCCTCCTTTTATCAAAGACGTCAAAAACCAGAGGACGTCTATTTTTTCGGTCCATGTTCACCCTGACGGAACTCGTTTAGCAACTGGAGGCCTTGGTGCGTGTTTCGACCTGAGCTATAACTAATTGATACCAATCGATTAGACTTTTGTTTGGCGATCATCAATATTTTTTTAATATCAAGTATATCAAGTATATCAAGTATAAGCTAAATGTCTTGATTAATTCATGTAGATCATAAAATAAAATTGTGGAGCACTGCTTGCATAATAATTGAAAATAAAACAAATGATCCTAGTGTACCGCGTTTACTGTGTACTTTAGGTTTTCACAATGGTTCGCATTCTATTATTTGTTAAGTTCCATGTTGATCAAAGCAAACTGTTTTATTTGTTGATTAAAAACATTTAATTTATGAATTATTGATTTAATGCATGTTTTTTCTTAGGTTCAGTACTCTGCGTTAGATGGTCAAATAAAGATGGCCGATATTTGGCTTCAGGTTCGAGCGACCGACGCGTTCTGATATGGGAATGGGATAGGTAAATTAATCAAATTTATTTATTAAATATTATATTAATGAACGTGAGAATATATAAATTTATTTTCTAATGCGATGTATTGAATTAGATCGGCTGAAGGGTTGTCGGAAGGAAGTGGTGAACACAACATTGAAAATTGGAAACCAGTAAGGCGACTTTCAGGGCATCAATCGGGTTATTATTTTTATTGTTTAGTTGTACGTTTCATTATTATAATTTGTAATTTGAAATTATTTCATCTATATTAATACTTTCACAGATGTAGTTGATCTTGCTTGGTCGAGAAATAATACCTATTTGGCATCATGTAGCCTAGACAGCTTGGTGTTCATATGGGATGGCAAAACGTTTGGTAAATAATTAATTTATGTTATGTATATGTATCTTTTATGTATTTATTTATCCTTATAATTTGTGTAGAAAGATTGCATAAACTAAATCAGCATTTAGGGTTTGTTAAAGGTGTCACATGGGATCCTGTAGGCGAATATCTTGCAACAGCGGTATTATTTAAATTAGATTTCTGCTGTACTTTAAAACGAAAAATACTAATAGAATGAATTGTAGTCTGATGATAAAACTATTAAAATATGGCGAACTGCTGATTGGACTGTGCAAGCTGAAATTAGTAAACCCTACGCTCCTACAATTTTCTACCCTCGTCTTAGGTAGGTTCTATTATTTTTTTTAACGGATTCTACATGTTAGAATTAGTAAAATTATTGATATCATATATAAAGTTGGTCTCCAGATGGTTCTCATGTCGCAACAGCAAATGGTGCGCAAGGCGCAGTTATATTTAATCGAGAAGAATGGCGTACTGATATATCTTTGGGGCATGATTCTGCGATCGAAGTCGTGGTCAGTATTAACTTTACTTTGCAAATAGACCAATGACAGGACTTTTAAATGTACTCATAAAACATTAAATATTATGCTCAGGCGTTTAACCCAGTCATTTTTATGATACCTGACAGTGATGACGCTGACCCCAATTCAGAGACCATGAGTAATATATGTGCTATTGGAAGTCAAGATCATAGTATTTCCATATGTTCAATGAAGAATACCCATCCACTCTTTGTTTGTCAAAAACCTTTTAATGATAGCGTATTAGATTTAGCATGGTGACTATACAATAATTAAATATGTATTCCGAAAGGCACTGCTCTTGATTCCCTCCATGAATTATATCATTTCTTTTTTTATCAAAGGTCACCTGATGGTACAAAACTATATGCATGTTCTTTTGATGGAACTGTGGTTGCCTTACAATTCCTTAATAAAGAATTTGGCACTCGGGTATCTGAAGAGGAACATGTGAGTGATTCAATCAACTTTTATGTCCGCTTTTACATTTATTAGTTACAATAAATTTATATAGGAGAGACTTCTTACAAATTACACTGTAACAAGTAACTCAAAAAGAACGATTAATGTGAGTAAACCTTTTATATACATTTGCATTTAATTGATAAAATCTTTGGCACATATTACATAATTTATTTATTTATCTGTTTTATCAGGAATCTGCCGAATCAGGTAAGTTTCAAGTAGTCATCAAAAATTATCAGCTGAAGATATTGAGATCTTTGCTAGGAAAATATGCTTGCTGCACAAGGTTTTAATTAAGGAAAGCTAATGTTGATAACTACGAAAAGCTTCCCTAAGTGCATGCCTCTATTTAAGCCAAACTAATATAACCCTATAGATTTTACCCTCTAAACGTATGTTCAACTAATTTTTTATATATATCCATCACAATGCGTTTAGAAATCTGACTGTTTAAATATACTAAGTCAATTATGCATATCCGCAGAGTTTTGGAATTTTACTATTAAAAATTTCAAAAATCTTTATCAATGAATAATTATGATTTACTGGTCCGTTTTCGATGAACAACTACCAAATGTTCGTCTCGATGAGACTATTTTAACGAGCCTAAATTGTTAAAATCAAATCCGAGATCGTTAGGGATTAGTCACTTCGGGTGTTTAAGATTGAAAAAACCAATCCTTAAACACTCGAGTGACACAAATTCTTAACGATCTCAGGATACTGCAATAGGATTTCACCGATTTGAGCTCGTCAGAATCGTCTCATCGAGACGAACATTTTGGTAGTAATACCCTGCCTTACTATTTGTTGTTCATGCCTACCTTCATTATAATTTCCCACGAGATCATATCATGACCGGGAATCTTCCATGGGAAGATTCCCGGTCACAAATAATCACACAAAAAATTATAATAAAGGTAGGCATTAGCAACGTAAGGCAGGGTATTATTCATGAAGGAGTTAAAAATCACAACAGATATTCCGATGATCATATGATGCAGACGGCCCTTCAGTTATCTGTATCCTATGTTCATCGAGAATCTCTTGTAATTTTTAAGCTCCCAGGAAATTAATAATACTGATTTCATCATCAAAAACGGATCAGTAGATCGAAAGTTATTCATTTTGTTAAAGATTTTTTAGAATTTTAATAGTAAATTCCAAAATCCACGGATATGGCTAACTGCTAAGTCGATGTTTATGTATAAAAATATCCCATGGTTGTATTTGTTTTGATTGTCTTCCCCTCGACTAAGTCGATTTTATCGGCTCAAGCCAATCACTCATTACCTAGCAAAGACTCCATATATTGTACCATGTTAAGCAGTAAGATGGACACTCATACTTTGATTAGAATACACATATTCAACAGTCAAATCTTCAGTTACAAATGAAGAGATACATATTGTAAAAAAAATAAAAACGAGTAAGATAGATTGATATTGTTCTAATATCCTTTATTTAATACATTAACACTAGTAATATTTACATAATATAGTTAATGATTATTCAAACCAGTTGGAGGATTATCTAAAAGGCAAAGGTATAAAATTCTTTGATTATGCACAATTTGATAATCTCGAAAAGATTGGATGTGGTGGATTTGCTGTTGTATATTCAGCTATTTCTGGAGGAAAAAAATATGCTTTAAAAAGTTTAAATAATAATTTGGAAATTGATGAGAAAACATTTAAAATATTTAAGCGTGAGGTAAATGCCATTAATATTCGCATTAGCAAAAGCTAGTAAATTCAGAAATGATGACATATTTGTTTGTAGATCAAAATTCTTTATAAGATTGAACATCCAAATGTCGTTAAATTCTATGGAGCTATGAGAGGTATAATAGATCTTTAAATATAATAACAAACTGAATTTATAAATCTTGCTTGCTTAAAAATTGATTTAATAGATCAAAGAAGTGATAATTTTATAATGGTATTACAATTTGCTGAGGGTGGTAATTTACGAAAATATTTACAAGGAAAGATAGATTCCAAAAATCATTATAAAATTTCATGGGCTGAACTCATCAAAATTGCAAAAGAAATTACTGCAGGTCTAAAATATTTACACTCTAAGACAATTATTCATCAGGACCTAGTGAGTTTTGAATATTTTTAATTCCTGCATTGAATTTTTAATATACTTGCAATTTAAATTATTTAAAATCTTCAGCATTCTATGAATGTTCTATTAAATAACGGAAATGTCTTGATTACGGATTTTGGAGTTTCAAAACAACTTGATAATGATTCTTCAAGAATGGCTTCAACCTCGACTCGTCATGGCTTGCCAGCGTATATTGAACCTAAATGCTATATTGATTCTAATTATAAATGTACTGTAGAATCTGATATTTATAGCCTAGGCGTATTGTTCTGGGAACTCACAAGTGGAATTCGACCATTTCACAAATCTAGTGATTATCAAATAATCATAAAAATTGCTTTAAATTTAAGAGAAGAAGAAGTTGATGGCACACCCGAAAGATTTGTTAAAATTTATAAGGGATGCTGGGATCCTGAACCTTGCAAACGTCCAACGTTAAATGAAATATCAGAGGAACTTGGAAGATTATCTAAAGAAAAGTCCATTAAATTTATTACAAATACTATAGATTAAATGAAGTATCAGTGAAACTTGGAAGATTATCTGAAGAAAAGTCCATTAAATTTACTACAAATACTATAGAAGGTAAATATTATTTATTTATTCTATTTATTCAAATTTATTTCTTAATTTAATTAAAAATTTTAAACATATAGTGGTAAATAATTAGATTGTAAATAAATAGATATTTGTTATTACAGTATTAGAAATTTGCATTTGGTTTATATTTTAATAATTTTAAACATTTTATTTAATGGCAGCATGGTAAATACGTGAACAATTGCCGTTTCAGGGGTTTTACTTATTTTGCGAGTAACACAAACCAAAAAAAGAAATTAAAATTTGTAAATAAACTAAGTGCTTAAAGATGTATGTTTAGGGTTAGGACGTTAGATTAGAGATAGGTTGGTGTATACTATAGGTTCCATCATTTCTAATTATATAGTACACCAAGATCGAGTATTTTCGCTTTTTTTTTTTTTTTTTACGTGTTCGGATTAATGTCGATTGGCCATTTCCTTTGTACTAGCTTATGGCCCGTGGCTTTGCCACGAATGTTTTTACATACACCTACTTAGTGATGGGACTACAGATGCTAAAATTCAACTGCTATACGCCGTGATTTATTGAAAAAAATTTGATCCTTATAAATTTATTGAATGTGACAATTATCATCTTTGCATCGATAGTCTCATCACTACTCCTAATATTAGTTTAACTGTTCACCTCTCTATAACTATCCTAGCGTCACCATCTAAACAATTTCGTTATCTGGTCAAATCAAAATTTGAGATTAGATATAATAGCGAAACTTTTTTTTTTTAGGTAGATGACGCCTATCAAATCCTTATATTATTCATCTGCACGTCATATGAATCAGAAACTTGGGAAGAAATTAAAGTAGTCTTGTCGTCGGTGATCATTTAATTTTTGTCTCATAGTGTTTAACTGCAGATTATATTAGAGATTACAAAATAGACGTGAATGACTGTGAATGATTTAGATGACTTAATGAATAGGTCATTTGTATTTAGTCATTTCACCAAATGATTATTGATATTATTTTAATTAAATATAATATATATTCTGGCATGCGCATCTCACGGAAATTTTCACCAACAAACTTAATGGATTTGCCTAATGAATTTTATTTTCAAAATGGAAATGACGATATTTATAAAAAAATTTTTTTTTTTTTTTTGCGAATACTTGATTAGTTTAGAATATTGGTCAACTACTATGTAGATTGAAAATCGACCATCGATCAATGTTTAAGTATTCGCAAAAAAAACATTTTGAAAACAGCGATAATATTCCACGAATATGTAAATTAAATAAAAATTTTTTTATCAAGCTTGGTTAAGTGGTTGTCAAGATATTATCATTTGAAATTTTAAAAAAATTTAGAACGTCTGTTAAAACGAAAATACCTCGAACAACCTAATTAAGCTTGAAAATATTTTATTTTTAATTCAATGCATATTTAGAATTAAAGAGTTTGGTCCGATGGTTGTCAAGATTATATCGTTCAAAGTTTTAAAAAATTTTTTAACTTTAATAAAAATTTTTTTATTGCTTTAAACGATAATATCTCGACAACCACTTCACCAAATTCGATAAAGATTTTTTTATTTTAATTCTATGTATCGTGGAATGTAGAGTTCCAATCCGGATAGATCCGTCAGTATCTAATTATTCGAATAACTCCGATCGCTCAGATATCCGGATAATCCGATAGGTATACGGATAATTATCCGGATATTGATAGTAAATGTAAATTCAGATTCGGATATCTGATAGTTATCCGGCAAACTCATATGATCATGAAAAAATTTCTTCTTGTTATTTTTTTCATGTGTTACGATATAATTATG